AAAATGAATGGTTTACTAGATATTTTATGGTTTATGTAAAATTAAGAAATTATTTCAAGCCTTATAACTCAAAAAGTACTTAATAAAAAGGTACTTAATTATAGTGTTTTGGAAAGCTCTCGAGATAAGCTAGAAGAATATGCAATGAAAAATAGGGGTTCCCATTTAAGATTTCAAACTTGCCCCCCTCACCGCCCAGGGGGAGGGGTGGGGGGCTGATTTTAACGTCATTGTATGTCCCCCTCGAAATGACGAAATTTTGATTCTAACCATTTTTTCGTAGTGTGTTTATTTTTCGAGTTATTTGGCTGCCTAAGTTAAAATGGGTCACCCTGTATATATATATATTGCGACGTTTTTCTCCTTCTTTATTCTAATTTTAATCGGATAGTACGCCGTCAAACACAGGATGAATATAAGATTTCCGCGCTCGGAGGAACAGGGATGAAGGGTGCTCGCGCGGGCCGCGGCGGAGCGGAGGCAGTTCGATATCTCGATAGGTTGGGCGCCAGATGCGGTCTTTCACGCATCAGTTTTCCACGAAATTTTTAAACAGCGCGAAAAATGATAGCTTCCTTCGCCACGGGCTGACTAGCTCGCCTAACGATAGAGGGGAGGGGTTCTTAGAGCGAGCCAATTAATTATGCGGAGATTTCATTAATTCGATGCGCGAGAGACACAAAAACGGATATCGACGACCACAGGGGACTAACATTCAAATAAATTACGCGAATTTAACAAGGCAATATAACAGATTTATTAATAGAAAAATAATAAAGGAAAGAAAAATATAAAAGTCCAATCAAATGACAAATCAGATTGAAACGAGGTTCACAATACTTCGATTAAAGACAAGCAAAGGAAATATAAAATCCAATCAAAAATAACATGAATGATGAGACGTGATTCACAGCAAATGTTCGCTTGAGATAACTAATCGAAAAGAAAGCTAAGACGTTATAATAACGGTAAACAGAGTCAAATGCGCAAGGCTTTATAATTACGGTAAACAGACTCGAATGCGCAAAACTCGATTATTACGGAGAATAGCGAGAAGCGCACCGAACATTACAATTACTGAGAACCGAAAGAAGTGCGCGAGCTCTTGCAATTACGGAGAACGGAAAGAAGCGTACGAGCGCTTACGATTTCGGAGAACCGAACGAGGCGCGCTATTACGAGTACGAAAAACAAAAAGAAATACGAGATCTTAGAATTATCGAAAACGGAAATGAACACGTAATACTTTATATTATTTAATTGCAGTAACAGAAATAACGCCAAGACGATGTAATCTACTGAAAGAACGGCAATATCTAGTTGATCGGAACGCGGAATTCGCGTATCGCAACGATAAGGCGTTCCCGCCGGTGCACACACGGCACGGCGGGTGTCGACAGCTTACGCCTCCGACAGCCGATTGTTCGCACGTCCGCGGTCAGCGGACTGCGAGTCGCAAGAAAAAGAGAACGCACGTAGAGAGAGATGGTCGAGAATCGAGGCCCCCCTTAAGTCGTATAACTTCCGGTCCTCTGTCACAATTTCCAAGGTACTCACCAATTTGCCGCTCAAGCTGTCGCAGAACTCTTCCCCTGGGGTGGCGGTCAACAGCACTTACAATCGGTCGGAGTCGCTCCACTCCGACCGGCGATAGCCTCGAGTTAAAAATTCTACACTAACGCGCGTCACACGGATAACGGAGAGGCGAACGAGTATATCGGGTGAGACCGATCGACGGATCACTGTCGCCCCCTGACTACGGTCGCAATCGACTTCTTTTCACTACCGCGAAATTTATGCAAACGAAACACTAATCGCGACCGGCCAAAGGGGTCGACCCGCGAGCCGTATCGGTAGACGGCGTACAAATTTTCGTAATTAAACACAAGATAGCCGGGTGACCTCACCGTTGAATTCTTCGCTCTGGTTTCCGCCAATTCGTCTTCTTTTGTGCCGAACGTCCGCGATACTCTCTCTAAACTTTCGCAGAACAAGTCCTCCATTCTCTCGGAATCGCCATATTTATCCTTAACTATTCGCCCCGCACCTCATCGAGAAGGATGATAGGCCCGTTCCCGCGCGCTCGGATTTTCGAGCGTGGCGCAAGGGCGCATCGTGCGCCCGCGGTCCCGCGCCTCCGCTGTTCCGGCGCGTTTTTCAGCGCCAGGTGGTCGGGAATTCTCCCGTCAGGGCCGATCTTTGCTGCCTTCGTCCCTCTCCAGTGGAGGGCAGCGACTTTTCCGGATTTTTCCGAGAAGGTTCAGCCCCTTCGCGGGGTGCTTTCGGCGCCCGTCATTGCTGGCCGGCCCTGGGATGCTGGGCCGATGGACCGAAATTGTGCGAGGCTGCTCGAGTATTGCTGACCCTTGTTTTCCACGGCCGATGTTTTGATCGGTGATGATTCGGCAAGGTTGCTTTTCTTGTAGACTTCCAGGTAAATCTTCGTTGAAGATTTATGGCCTCCGAAACAATATAATTTCGACAAATAGGATTAGTAACAATGCTTTTGTTTATAAACGAACGCACTCGCCTCTCTGAAAATCCCGGCGGGGCTCTCGATTTATCGACCGGCGCGGCCGCTCGGCTCGCGTCACGCAGTCTTTTTAGCGGGTGGACGTCCGTCATGTCGGCAACGTCACAATATATATATATATATATATATATATATATATATATATATATATTGTATCCAAAGATTTCTTGCCACGAAGAAACATATTAGTTTTTCAGACCATTATATCCTTAATTCGTTCTCGGTCTCCAAAAAATATTTACGCGAAAACTATAGTGACATTATGGTCACGAGAGCTGACAAGAGTCAGACTACTGTTGTCATGGATAAAAAAGATTACTTCGATAAAATGTATCTGCTGCTGAATGACCAAACTACATACAAACCTTTGAACAAAGATCCTTTGAAAAAATTGACTAATAAAATTAATGAGTTAGTTAAATCATGGCGCAAAAATAATTTGATCAGTGAGTTGACATATAGAAACTTAAATTGTACGAACGGTAATTTACCGCGATGCTACGGTCTGCCGAAAATCCACAAAGACGGTTTTCCATTGAGAATCATTGTATCTGCTTTGGGAAGCCCTGTGTACAACGTTTCGAGTTACATCCACAACATTCTGTATAAATCTATAAAGAAACCAAATTCATTTATTAAAGATAGTTGGTCCTTTGCTCAAAACATAAAGAACACAGTCATTAATGAAGACAACATCATGATTTCTTTGGATGTGACTTCATTATTTACAAACGTTCCAAGGGAGTTAGTTGAAAACGCCATTAAAAAACGCTGGGACGACATTGCAAAAAATACTAAATTTAATTTATCTCAATTCTTATTTGCAATTGACTTGATTTTGGATTCAACTTGCTTCTCTTTTAACGGACGTTTCTACGAACAGATCTTCGGCACACCCATGGGCTCTCCACTGTCACCTATCTTGGCAGATATGGTGATGGACGATTTGGAGACTCAATGTCTTAACTCACTGAATTTTACAGTCCCCATGTATTACAGATATGTAGACGATGTTTTTACAATTGTACCACGCACAAAAATTAACGATATTTTAACCATTTTTAATAACTACCACGAACGTTTAAGATTCACGTACGAGAAAGAAATTGATTCTTCGATTAGTTTTCTTAATGTTAAAATCATTCGTTTGGGAACAAAACTTATCACCAATTGATTTAGGAAACCTACATGGTCCGGGAGATATATTAATTTTTACTCAAATCACCCGTTAAAATATAAAATTAATACGATTTATAATTTAGTTGACCATGCCATTTTACTATCTGACGACTGTTTTAAACAAGAGAATATTAAGTTAATATATGATACGTTAGTTAATAATTGTTTTCCTGAACATATTATTCATAGACACATTCGAAAAAGAATCAATTTTTTAAACAATCGCGACTGCAATGACACTGATGACGCCAATTCTACTCATCCAGATAAAACTCATTTTATCACTATACCATACGTAGAGAATACGAGTCAAGATCTCTACCGTCTTCTACGAAACAGTGGTTTCAACGTCGTCTACAAAGTAACCAAAAAATTTAATAACTTAATCAGATGTAAAGATACCTTACACAATAACGACAAGACAAGTGTTGTATACAAATTAAACTGTAGGGATTGCAATTTATCATACATTGGGCAAATAAAAAGACATTTGCGGACCCGAGTGAAAGAACATTGTAACAATATAAAATTACATGAGTCTAATCACTCCGCTATTAGCAAACATAGATTGGAATCCGGACACGATTTCGACTGGTCGAAACCGAATATCTTGCACAACGAAAAGTACGTTCGTAAAAGAGAGATAGCTGAGATGTTCTTTATCAAGAGATCTAAAAATCTAATCAACTTACAGACTGACACAGATAACTTGAATAATATTTACGACAAAATTATTAAGGTCACTTAGTACCGCTTTTCTTCCTGTTATGTTTAGTTTATTGATGAAGTCTCACATGGACGCATCAGCTTCTCTCAAATTTGAATTTAATTAAATAACGTTTTTTGTATTATGTGATTACGTGGTTTTACATGTTCACCATTAATGTTGTCTTCTGATTATTATTACATCGGTACAAATCTTTTCACACTTTAATTCTCTGTGCGTTACTATGTATTCAAACCGTTAATTTATGTATTGATAAATCTTTTTTAGTGTATACTTGATAAGGACCACAACCACATGGTCGAAACGTCGTATTAATAAACTTAATTTTTTGGCTAGTTTGGTCGACTACAATTTTTCTATTGATCCTTTGATTACTCGACTAGCGACATTAAATTATTTACAATTATATTTATATATATATGGAATATTTATTGCATTATCTATTTCGAATACTGTTTCGAATTAGATCATCTAAAATAATTTTAAATTAATACTTATATAGCAGTAGGTTTATATAAGAAAAATGAATCTTAAAATAAACGAATCATTTTACTATTTCAGATGGCGAATATCTCTTTGTGGATCCCGAGAATAAATTGAACAAATATGCCCCGAAGAATTGGCGAAATTCTCATACATATGTAAGTAATTATTTTATTTGTCATTGAGAAGGATCTAATAATTTAGAAACCGCTTAAAAAGATTATAGGTCAATCTTTGTGTAATATTTTTTAAAATTAAATATGAAGAATTTATATAGCTTGTAGCAAGAATATAATTGTCATCAAATTATATCTAAAATAATTATATCTTATATCTTTAATCTTGTAATGGTGGTCGAGGCGGTAACGCCAGAGATAGGTATAGCGCAACTAGTTTTTGCGCCTGCCGTCGGGTCTCTTTCCCAAGGAGGGCGATACTGCGCTACCTTTCTTCCACTTTGTGAGCGAACGGGGCCATACGCCAAGGATAGGTATAGCGCAACTATAGTGTCAAAGATCAGAGCTTCTGCTTATTCAAGACTTTCGTGCGTGATACGTAGTAACAGAATACGGCGGATATAGACCAAAGAAGATCGATAAATAATCCTTCAAAGTGAGGTTAGCAACCTGCTAAAAAGAAGAATCCATAGATGCTCACAGATCCACGCAATGCCTCGAATACGGACAGTCTATAAAGATGACGACACCGCAAAAAAACTGAAACAAGCGATTAAAGAAAAAACATAATAAGATTAGGAACATGGAATATAAGATCATGGTATACAAAGGATATCGTTAAAGAGATCAAAGAAAGAAAGATTGACATCTGTTGCCTTTCCCAGGCGAAAAAAGAGGGAAAGGAACATCAAAGATACAGGATTACATTCTGATTAACAGCAGAAAAGAGAAACAGCAAACGGCAGTGTTCGGCAGTAGCTAGAGTCGGAATACTCCACGAAAAATTCCACCAGCAGATAAAATTGATTATGTAAATCCGAGAGTTATAAAAGTAAAATTAGAAATGGACAACGAGCCCTTGCATTATAAGTATATATGTCGTGGATATAACAAAGCCTTTTTTTTTACTCAGGAGAAATGTTTTATGCATATCCTCGCTCTCGGGGGAGAGGCGAGAGTTATGTGGGACTCCCGGCTGTGCCAAGTGTTGGCAATAGTCGGTCTACCCACTAGAAAACCCCTGAGATGGCCATCCTCGCGCATTAGAAGGGCAGGTGGAAACTCGGGACTCGCTGTTGCAATACTTCGAACTTCCGATTGTGAGTCCTCTTCGCGCTTGGGACCCGGCGACTTAATTTTTGCACCTACCGCCGGGTATCTTTCCCAGGGAGAGCGATGCTGCGCTCCCTTTTTTCCACTTTGTAGGCGAACGGGGTCATACGTTCGTCCTAACCTTCCCTGGGTATCTTTGGACATAACAAAGTCTAGAGAAGAATGAAGATGTTTTATGAACACCTACAGGAACAATTGGATGCGATATCAAAAAAAAGAAAAAAAATCATAATATTAAGAGGCCTAAACGCACGAATAGAAGCAATATCATAAATAAAACAGAGATTCAACGAAGAAGATAATGAGGACTTGTTGATTGATTTCTACATGCACAACTCTCTTAGTATAAACAACACGTTTTTCATTCATAGGACATAACACAAGTTCGAGAATATACAAGGAAGAAGATCCATGATCAATTACTCATTAACAAACCGCGAATTCAATCCAAGCCAAATAATAGACATTAGAGCCCTGGATACCCCAAACATAGGAAATTACCATAAAATGGTAATGTGTAAAATAAAACTAATTCTCGGGAAAAGAAAAAATCAAAATACAAATACGAAAATGAAGATAAAGGTGGAAGGTGATTTGAGGAAATAGATACTATGACAGAAATAAGACAGGGCCATTTCTTAAGCCCAATGCTTTTCAATCTTATAATGGATAAAATTATCGACAGGATCAAGCCGCTATCAGACTTCAAGTTAGGAGATAAAAATCTTCAATATCTTATGTTACGCACAGAAACAGAAGGGCGCATGATAGAACAGATCATGAATCAAATATCTAGGCATGAATATTTCCAGCAACAGAAACATATACTTCGATGTAAAGCAACAAGTAATATATGGCGTAAAAATATCGGGAAGTCTCAGAAGTGTAATATGGAAGAACAAATATATGGATTCAAAAAGTAAGGATATACAAGACCATCGTAAGACTTGTGATGACTTATGGAGCGAAAGCAAGAGCGGATACGCGTAAAACAAAGCAAATGCGGACTAAAATGACAACATTGAGGTCGATAATAGGAAAAATGAGAATGGATAGAATGAAAAATGAGGAGGTAAAAGAACAATGCGGCATCATGGACATCGTCAGATTTTGCAGAAAGAGGAGAAGAGTGAACATGGAGAATGGTGCGAACATGTGGAGAAAGTGGAAGAGAATCGACTGATTAAGGTAGCAAAGAACCAAAAACCGACAGAGAAGAGATCAGGAAGACCACAGAGAGAATCCCTCGCGTCATCAACAGACAGCCCAAATGCGTGAAAGAAAACAGGAACTGTCTAAATAAAAGAAAAAGAAGAAGAAGAAATAATTTAACTAAATATAAAATAATAAATTGTTATAAAATCTATTCTATATATACACTACTCAAAAAAAATAGGAAACACTTTTTGTACCCTAAAACTTAGGCTATTTTCAAACCGCTGAAACTCGTCGAAAAATCATCATAGACAAAAAATTAAAAAAACATTTTAATGTTTGAAGTTTCAATTTTAATGCGCAGTTGAAGATTTAAAAATTTTTTTTTATCTTCCTTATTCTGCGCTTTAAAAAAGAACACATTATTTAGTTCCTTAAAATTATGTACTTTTAAAGGGGGGGGCGGAGACATTTGGCGGAAAATAAACTACCTTTGAAAAATTTTACAAAGGTAATAAAATACGCCAAGTACATAAAAAATATTGTATCTTGTATGAAATAAAATGTTTAATAAAAAGTCCTTCAAAATAATTTACCGTAATTTTGCCTCACAAAATTATTTTTCTAAAAAACAAAACCTCAATAAATAATTTTCCTAAAGAAATATTAAAAAATAAAATATCAAAACTAAATATGAAATCAATAATTACTATTAGCCAAGTACTTAAGAGCAATTTGTAAATTTGATATAATATTTTCCCGGACCGCGTTTACATTACAAACAAATATATCCCTAATAAAATGTAAAATCTTAGACATTATGTAATTAAACATTTAATCTGTATTTGATTATAATTCAGGCACGTCAAATTTTCATAATTTACTTCGATTTAAAGACTGTGTGATTTAAAACGTTTTTATTTAAATTATATACATTATATACATTATATAACATGTTTTAGAGATTAAAAGAATCCTAATTCTCATTTAATGTTGATTTTATATATTTTAAAAATTACGTTTCTCTAAATAAATATAAAATACGTTTTAATTTCTTAGGAAGAATTTATGTATAATATTTCTACAATGTAAAATTGATATTTCATGGAAAATATTATATCAAATTTACAAATTGCTCTTAAGTACTTGGCTAATAGTAATTATTGATTTCATATTTAGCTTTGATATTTTATTTTTTAATATCTTCTTAGGAAAATTATTTATTGAAGTTTTATTTTTTAGAAAAATGATTTCATGAGGGAAAATTACTGTAAATTATTTTTAAGGAATTTTTTATTAAATATACAAGGTAGAATATTTTTTATGTACTTGGCGTATTTCCTTTTTACCTTTGTAAGATTCTTTTAGAGGGATATCAAATCTTTTTGTAAAATTTTATATTCTTTCTGCAAATTAATTTTTGGGGGAAAATTTTTTTAGGGATATTTTTTAGGTATATTTTTGGGGATTAATTATTTTTAGGGATATTTTTTTATTAAACTTTTTGTTGCATACAAAGCGAAATATTTTTTATGCACTTGGTGTATTTTTTTTATCTTTGTAAGATTTTTTTTAGAGGAATATTACATCTTATTGTAAAATTTTATATCCTTTCTTCAAATTATTTTGAGGGGGAAAATATTAGTAAATTATTTTTAGGAATGTTTTTTTACTTTTGAAAATTGTTATTGTACGGTAAATTAGTCTTTCTATAAGCCACAACTAATAGTACAGGTTTTATATTTTTGTGACACACCGTTTTTGAGATATTAGATTTCATTCCCAAGAGGTGGTTTTTAAAAATTATTATTATACGCTTAATTAGTCTTTCTATAAGTTATAACTAACAGTACAGATTTTATATTCTTTTGGCACATCATTTCTAAAATATTAGATTTCACCTCCGAGGGGTGTTTTTTAAAAATTATTGTTATATAATAAATTAGTCTTTGTAAGAAACCTTAAGGGGATGCCGGACTTTCCTTTTTTACCGACAAAATTTTGTGCACGCTATACTCTTTATTAGTTGCACAGAATAATAAATGCTTTTCCACAATTAAATTACACATAGCAACAAAGATGAGAGTGAACCATTTTTTGTTCAAAATGAAAAAAAAATAGAAAATTACAGTTTTCTTCGGCTTCTGACATCAGCTCGTAACAATATTAGCTGAACATAAAAGTTTTGCAGTTTGTACGTACAAAATAAGAGCACTCTTACCTCAGAATTTCCTGAAGGAATATACATGAACAGTCAGAAATGCGTTTAGAAGCGTAGTAAAAATAATTAGTGTGCACAAAAATTTCGTGCATATGTGTGTGTGCGAAATCGAGGCATGTAAGTAAAACAGTCCTGTAAATTAGTTGCTTGCTAGCGCGACAGACGGCGCTATAATCGGTTTGTATGACAAGGAGAGTCAATCTCGTACCATCCTTCTCTTTCATCTTGCGTGTAATAGGATACGTTAGTATACATGTACGCGCCCACTAAAACATTAAATTCTTGCGTTTTCTTTCTCAAATTCCGCGTAGTAGATACTTGTTGTCACACAACACATTTTATAAGATGTAAACATCTTATAAAATAAAAATTAAAACTTTTATTTTTAATTTCATCAGTTTGAAAATAATTTCAATGAATTAATGAGATTTTTGCGATTAAAATGATATCAAACACGGCGTAAATCGGGTAATTTTTAATTAGTCTGATAATA